CCAGCAAAGAAGGGGAGGCGGTGGGGAGGGAGGGAAGGGAGCAGCGGGGGATGGTGGGAAGAAGCCCTGCTGCAAGGCGGAAGTGGGTGGGGGGAGGGAGCCCCCGTGCCAAAGGCTACAGGAGGTGGTGGAGGGAGTCCTTACATGGCTGGCCCCAAAGGGTGAGCAGGGAGCCATGTAAATACTCCTTGAAATCCATCATTCTTGACAGGCAATTAGCTAGTTCTTATATATATTTGTTAGTTATTAACTTAGTGTCTGATCCACAGTTCATGGAAATCAACAGAAAAAACTTAGTTTTAATGGGCTTCAGATATTATCATAATTTTTTTTTTATTTCAAGCACTTGCAGGTAAATTATATGCCACTTGCAGAAGACCCCAGCTGAAACAAGCTCTAACATGTATACTGTGCAAATACAGGACACATAAAATGGCCAACATCTGTCTAAAAGCCTAACATTTATTTGCATGTAGAGCTCCTGGCTGAAAAGTTCTGTAATTTCTGTAAAACCTCACCCTGCCCTCCCGCCATCCCCTCCACTCCCCCAAACTAATACAAAAGTTCATGTGCATGGCTTCTTTAACAAGTCTTTACAAATCTACATAGGAACGCACTGATTGTTACATGAGCTGTTCTCCTCAGTCTCACAGTAACCCATGTTGAACATGTGACAGGAAGGCAAACTTCCACCTAGGCTGTACTGTATTATTGGCAAACTTTCCTGAACCTCGACAGAGCAGTTGAGGGTTTTTCCTGTTTTGTTTTTCTTTTTGAAATAGTAAGATCTGTCTCTCTTCATTGCTCTGGACATGTGGAGTCTAGCAATTGTAACTCAATAATTACATTCTACCTAAGTGTTCTGTATTCTCAGTAGCTTACTATATTTTACTGCTAACATAACAGATCCCACTGCAGCATATTATGAATCAGGCAGGCTTAAGACCCGGAAAACTGGTTTGCATAAAATGAACCAACTTGAAGCCTTGCACAAAAAACTCAAACCAAATCAAATCTTAAGATTTTTATTGAGGTTTGACAAGAGTCCAGCTAATGGGTTTCTTGTTGTTATTTGTCTTAGTTTTCATGGATTTTTCCCTTTCATGGTCTCAACTGGATACAAGCCTTCTCAAGATCTATTTTTTCCTTTAAAGACTTAATATGGTAGATTGAAAGGAAGCTTTTTATATAGTACATAATGCTTCAATCTGATTTCAATAAGAAGCTACCAAGTGAATTAAATTTTTAAGTAATATTAAGTAACTAAGTAATCAAGTAATATTAAGATACAAATTCTGATTTTGTACAACTCTGGAGGCATATGCTGCACAAGATAAGGATGGTTCTAAAAACTGGCTACCTCAATATATAAGCTATCTTCCTCAGAGTATGCTGGAGGTGTACTCATGGTCATAGCTACTTGCTTTAATAATAAATGTTTGTTTTTTATTGTCTGAAGAGCAAAAGCAGTTAAGAAAGGGAACAGACTGGAGTTTTGTCCTCTTTGCTTCAAAAGAACTAGCAGTTACTGAATGCAATTCATTTGTACAAATGTAGCTAACAGAATAATTTGAACTGCAGAACATTTATTCCTAGTAACAATAACTGGAATAGGAAGAACTAAGCTTGACTCTGAGATCCCAGGTTAAATTTACTCATCTATAAATCAGGAAGAAATGTCTTTTATCTTATAATACTGGGTACATTTAATCTAAAAAGACAAAGCAGGATACCCATTGTGCTATTTACAGAATCACTTCTGGTGCACAGCCGTACATTATGCTTTGCCCCCCATTTTTCTTTCAATTTGCCCTTTACTTTTGTTAAATGCCAGTACTTTTCCCCAGCAGATGCTATTACCTCCATGAAGTAGCTGGCTAGGGAATGACTTGAACTATTTTTAAATGTCTGGCTGATCAACAATTTCTTCTTGTTGTTGATTTCATCCCAGTGTTTTCCATAGTTCACTTCCAGGTGCGAATGAAGCCGAGATGGACGTTCTTCATGCTGTAAATGAACCTGAAGAACAAAATGCATCATCCTTCTATGCATTCTGATTCCCCTTTAATTTAAGGTGTTGTACATACATAGAACATGGACTATGGACTAAGTAGCAAGGCAAAGTGAGTTATCTCTCACAAGAGCTTCATGGAAATTTCTTGCAAATTTTTTTTTTTTGGATGAAAAACTCCTGAGAAGTTTCAGCTGAAACATTTGGTTTAATTAAACTTTCACCAAATCCAAGGCAGAGTTCTCTGCCATGCTTCCTGATAAACTGTCTCAGGACCAGGAATGTTGGTTTCATTGATAACTTCATCGCAGGGTCTGGGAAGCTTCCAGTTCATGGAAAAATTGCGAAATGTAATTTTTTCATCCAATTCAGGCCACGACAAATTTCAAAAGAATGGAAATTTCTCACAAATAAGAAACCCTATTTTTTCACCAGGTGCACAGATCACATTTAGCGCTTAGTGTTAAAAATGTTTAGCTTTTAGAATCATTAAAATAAAAGGAAAGGGTTATGCAGAATTTACTGAAGGCGAGATTCTCAGTTACACTCTGCCTTCTGGCAGTTTAGAGAACTGGCCACTTCCAAAGGTTTTAAGCTAAAAGTTAGCTTCCATAGAGCTACATTAAAGCTGAAGTGAAAAATGTTACAAACCGAGGTAAAATACACTAATTTCTGGACACAAGTATAACAAAACCATGATTTTGATGGTTACTGTGTGCAGGCAAATCATATTACTGTCAGCATCCAAGTACTGGTGTTGCAAAAGGATATGCAAAAATACCATGCAAACACTTCACAAAAGATACAATTCAAGAAAACAATTCATATACAAAACCAAAGTCACTGGAGTTACTCTGAACTTATAGAGGTATAAACAGGAGCAGAAATTAGTGACAGATTTCTAATAACTTCCCCACATATAAAACTATAAAGAAACCCAAAATGAGAAGATAATGACTGTCCCCAAACTGGCCTCCACAGCACCCTTATGATTGAAACCCTGCAATTAACAGAAGGCATCATGTTGAACTCTACCTTATGATTATAGGCTGGAGCCTGAGTACAGTGAAGCTCATGTCCTAAATCCAGTTTGTAGGCTTCATTTGGACCAGTCTCCACCTTGATTTTCTGCCCTGCATTACATTCATGCTGAAGGTTCTTTGCACCTGCTGTTTGAATTAACAAACAAAACACCCAAATGGTAAGGGTTTTTGAATAAACTATCAGAATTAAGTCAATAAAGCTCCAAGTCTCCATTCTAGTTTTTTATTCACCTAGGCATAAAATGACATTCTTTTTTATAGGATTATTATTTTTGTTGTATTCTAAATATCTCAAGCTAGAAGCACACTCAAGTTGTTAATGAGCATGCACTCACTACATAGGTGCTGCATCTACATGGGATGCTGACTGTACAGCTGTTACTGCACAGTCATTTAGTACTTGCATACACCAGTAAGCAGTGTTACTGCACAGTAGTGTCCCAGCTTGGCTTTTTGGTGACACTGACTGTGCAGTAGCTAATTACTGCTTTGTGCCACGTGATGCTACTGTACAACGAGTGGGCTGTGCAAAGCTTTGGTAGCCAATTCGATTCGGAGGAGATTCAGCCCAATTCAGCGGCCAAATCTCTGAATCAGGAGACCAGTTAAAAGGTCTGAATCGAATCAGAAGCTTCCGAATCGATTCGGAAAAGATTCAGTGCTGCTTTGGAAATTCAGCCATAAACTAAACAGGCAGCAGCCCTCACTACACTGGACTGGACACAGCTGCCTCCAGCTGGTAAGACTATTTTGGTGGGCGGAGGGGGAGAGGGGTGTAGGGGAGCAGATCAACGGCCCCACAGCAAGGGAGGGATTGGGGCTGGGACAAGCTGCCCAAGTGAGGTCGGGGGGCACAGGACTCATGGAGGGGAGCAGGGGGGGCACAGAATGTGGGCACAGCAGTGCAGGGAGTGGGGGCTATGCCCTGCTGCTGCTTGCCCAGTTAGGGTGGAGGCGGGGGGCGCGATGCAGGCGCGGCTTGCTCCAGGTGGAAGGGGGCAAGCGGCAGCAGGGCATAGCCCCGCTCCCAGCAGTGCCATGCCTGTATCACACGCCCTCCTGCCCCAGCTGGGCAAGAGGCAGCAGGGCATAGCCCATTGGTTGCCCAGCTGGGCTGGGGGTATGGGATGTGGGCACTGCTGCCACTTGCCCAGCCATGGAAGAGGGGCACAGGCACTGCCACTTGGCCAGCTGAGGCTGGGGAGCACAGGATGCGGGCACTGCCACCGCTTGCCCAACTGGGACAGGGGGGCACAGGATGCGGGTGGGATGTGCTCAGGGCTAGGTTGGGGGCTACTGGCTGGGCTACTGTTTGAGGTTTATCCAGCTGGGTTTTGCCACCTGCACAGAGGTGCATCTTTGCTGTTATTAGTATGCAAGCAAGTTCAGTTCAAGCTACAGTCCATATGCTATCTGCAAAATGTTGGGTGAGACCACATGAGTTTTGATTTTTCCCACAAATTGTACTAGAAATAAAAATCCTGAAAGGTAAGCTGCGACATATAATTTATACATGAAGTTGGCTGACTCAGGGGCTCTGTTTATTTTATACTCTAATAAAATTAAAGATATTTCCAAGCTCAGGAAATTGGAAACATTTGTCATCTTACAGCAAAAGGCAAAATAAAAATGATCCAAGTACTTAGGCTGGCTTTGCTTAAGGAGAACTAAAGCACTGCTTATGTGTTTATTCTGCTTTGTTTTCCTGTTTATCTTCCTCATTTTTTTCTCAAAAACAAAAAATACAGAAGCATCAGCTTTTCATCTTTCATGGAAGTGTTCATGGGTAAAGCCTTTGTGAGCCTTAGTAAATACTATGCTGCCAGTCTCTGCAATTTTACTGAGACTTGCACAATACTGGGATTTTTTTCTTACAACCTCAGCTCCTGAAGTTACCCAAGAACTGCAGCTTACCATTTCTTTAAAATGAAAGTTTCTTGCCCAAGGGATTTCTGAGAAAAGCTAAAAAAATGTAAATCCTTAAGAATCAAGCTCCAAAAGACACGTAAACTGAATGCCAAAACAATGATTTTGTAATATCTCGCGATAGTAAAGTAAAACCTGTCATTTTGAAAGCTTCAGTTTGGCAGTACTCCAAATGCATCAGGACTTAGTCTGAAGCTCAAAATATTTGCTTTGAGTTGTGGTAGGGTTAGAGTGATGATACTGTAGCTACAAAAGTCCATATATGTGAGAGGCAAAGATTTTTTTGGCAAAATCCTTCACTAGTCTAACATCTCTCACAACTATACAGTTGGTCCAATCCTTCCTTTTTTGTGTTCTCGTAACAAGGTATTCAGCAGAACTTGCAGATTCATTAAATCTGACAGGCAGTACTGCGAGTGCTTCTAGTATAGTCTCAAACTTGCAACCTCTACATTATCAACTGTGCAACTTAGTGACAGCACCACTCCAGCCCTGAGCTGGTCCAATAAAAGAGAACACAAAAGGGTCCTTGTCGCTTGCTTTGTGTTGATAACAGCATGAGCCAGAACAGCCACTGCAATATGCAAGCAGTATGTAATCTCTTTGTTACTTTATTCTGGGACAAGAACGTATGAGTTTTCTTGCAATGTAATATTCTTATTAGCACACCAGTTTTAGTGAAGTGATGGGGTCACAAGTGAATTTTGGTTGACATAATTATATTTTCATTAAGAAAACTTTGCCAGCCATATTCCACAACTGACACCAGTCCTTGCAATATGCAAATACCTATTTGCCAGGTTTTAATGCATGGTGTGGCCAAATATTGAGGCTATTGTCATGCAATTTCTTTGAATATCTCAGCATTTCTAATCTATACACTGTAGCTAGGAAAATACTGTCAGCTGTGCACTGGAAAAATGGCCTTTTTTTTATTTTCCAAATAATCAGGTCTCAGAGTTTGTGCTCCTATTTTTTTTCACTTTTCAATGGATTTACTAGGATAAATATTTGCAGAAACTGTGCATTTTAATCAAATATTAGAAATATATATATATATATATATATATATATGCAAAAAGCACATTTTAAATTAACTCTGAGCTTTCACACTGAGATGCTAAGTGTTACGTTCATCCAGTTAGTACAAAAACATATTCACATGTTAGAAAACACACAGCTTAGAAATCAGGTACAAAATGTGGCCACATTTTTCCCTTCGTCTCACAAACGGATGTTGATTATATGGACAAATTACATGCCCAGAATTGAGGGGCACTTCAGATGCTTAGACTTTGTCCTATAACACAACAATAAATGCCATATACATAAATACCTAGGAGTCCATATTTCATTCGTAGAGCATTAGACCACAAGTTTCCTCGCTGCTGCAGGAGGCCAATGACATGCAATCCCAGCACACCAGGAAGGTAAGTTTCCCCTTCAAATGAGTACTGCCTCACTTTATCATCAACCTTTCTCTCCAGAAATACTAAAGAAAGAGCAGAAAACAGCACATGTTGGTTCAAACTGAGAACTCAGTTAAAAATAGGATAAAAGGAGCTGCAGAGTTGCATGTTGTTTTATTCCAGTCTATTGATTCACTTTCATCTATCAACACTACACCAACAGCAAAGTCATCTTCCCTGATATTTTCTTTCTTTCCCCACCCCAAAACATCATCCCCAGTCTGCTGGTAAGGAAAGAAATACCTTTGCTTACCAAGTTCAAATTAAGTCCAAAGACCTTTTAAACACCCTTTCTAAACTGATGTTGAGAAAGGTGGGATATTTACATGCGTGAGCATGTGTATGCACATACTCATGCACGTGCAACTATAGGGAGTTGTATAAAACCATAGCAATGATAGAATTTGAGAAACTAACAGTTAATGTTTCCGTAATAAAATGATTCGTTGCAAATTTTAGTGATATTTAAAATGTTTTGCTGCTCAGGACCTGTAATCAAAAGGAAGGCATGTATTTTGCGATGTAATTTACTGAACAACTGCTATTATTTTCAAATAAATGGCATACTGACCTCAGATGTTTTTAAAATGCCATTGACTTTAACAGGATTTTAGAATAAAAACTAAAAAACAGGAAACCAGAATGCATTTTTTCTCTGCATATAAACTATATATCCTAAGGACTACAGGGAAATAACAGGTACTCATTTTCCTTTAACCTGAAAGAAATGCTGCATCCTTCAATAAATTATTCAGGGATACCGACAGGGCCATTTTCTTGCCAAGTTGTTTAGTGATGTTTCCTGACAGAATGATAGGACTCCCCTGTTTTACCAGCTTGACCTCCAGCTGGGTTGTGTATCTCTGCTCTCCATTCACTGTTTGCAAATCTGTCATTCCCTGAAAAAAACCCCAACAGCATAAATAAGTTAATATTCAATGCCTCGCTACCACAGACACAGGCACTTTTGCAACTTGGAGGGAGGAAGATGGAGAAGCAGTGAGAATTTACTTTTCCAGCTAAGGGCATGGTGCTGTGAGGTGCTGGATAACCTCAGCTCCCAGACTTTAATGGGAGATGAAAGCATATAATGCATTGCAGCACTGGGCCAAAAGACTGAAGAAGGAAACAGAAACAAAATTCATCTGATATAGTGTTACTGCAAACAGTGCCTGTATGGCAGTTTGGAACCTTTTCGGAGCGGGACAGTATGCAAATGCAGTCGCCAGCAATGGGAATTTGGGTATATCGTTTGGGTTTATCACTCTGTTGAATAGTGGAGAAAATCAGAAATATCCTGGTTGAGATTGTACTGTAAAGACAACAGCTGGTAAACAGCTACACTTATTATTGAAAAATGTATAATGTTTCTCTAGGATTGATTCTTGCAGAGTAGAGTATCCAACTTGTGGACCCAAACAATGAATGGAAAAAAAATAAAAAACTCACTGCCTAATTCCTGGGAAGTAAATTAAAAATCTTAGTAGGAGTGCAGTGCTAAATGTCCATCTTAATGCCTTCTATTGTTCTGTAGTTTCAGTGTTGGCATAGTCTTATTTGTTCCTGCAACTCTCTCTCTCTATATATAATAAATATTATATAGAGAGAGTTATACATATTTAAAATAAAGAGTACTACTTGGGACATTCCTGTCTCCACAGACTTCATACAGGTGGTTAACCGAATCTGGGCTCAGACACAGATGTTCTGTAGGGCCAAAATACAACTTTGCATTTTAAGACTGCACAACTTCAAAAGAGAGCCAGCTGCAAAGAAATCAGTTCACAAAGCATTCATCTGGAATCAAGTTCAAGTTAAAAAATCCCAGTCCAAACCTCATTCCAAAATCCCAGGCCAAGGCTCCAAGCCTGAATATAGAATAGGAATGGGTGGGCAAGGGGATGCCTGCAATCACTCAGCACAGTTCCAGGGGGTTGCCTGCTAGATTCTACCAAAGAATCAGGCTCTCAGAATAATTACACTAGGAACTACATTCAACACAAAGTCACACCCCATAAGACACTGCAGATAACTCTGCATAAACTGGCAGCCACTGGGGAGTAGCAGGATAGTACAAGCTCCAACTCTGAACCATGTCAATGAGGGTGGCCAGAAGAGGTCAGTATTAGAACACCATAGTGTGAGTGTATGCTATCAGTCAGCCCTAGAGTTGGCACAATTTAACCTAGCTACAGCAATTTAAGGTAGAAGGCTCTGTACTCCATTATCATTCCTTCAACTATCTGTAACCCTTAAAGCCTGGCTCTCTCCTTCATATCTGGAAAAATATGAGGGATTAGAATATACATTCACATACTGAATCAAAGCCTGCTGAAGTCTATAGGAATCCATCCTCCTGACTTCAGTTGACTTCGGAAACGGTCTGTATTATTTTAATCAAGAAATGTGAATGATACGACAGTACTTTAAATAATAAATTGGAACCTTTCTTAAAGTTATTCCTTTGCAGAGATTAAACCAGTGATGCTCAACCTTTTTGCCTGATTGGTAGTGTCCATGGGCCAGATTGGTAGTGTCCAGTCCATCTCCAGGCTAGATCTGGTTTGTGCTTCCAATCCAGCACCCCAGGGCCCTATCCAGCTGCACAGAGGGTCATGGGGGATAGCTCAGCTCCAAGCCCTTCTGGCTCCAAGAAGAGAAGGGGGCTTGATGTGGGCTCCAAGAAGAGAAGGGGGCTTGATGTGGGCTCCAAGAAGAGAAGGGGGCTTGATGTGGGCTCCAAGAAGAGAAGGGGGCTTGATGTGGCCCCAACCCAGCCCCCTAGAAGGGGAAGGGGGCACAGCCTAACACCAACTGATCCAGACAGAGGGAAGGGGTCACGGCCAGCTGTAGGGCTTGGGATTTGGGAGTTTGGTGGCAGGGGACTGTGACTGTATTAACTTGCCACTGCTTCCCTGCTGCCAAATATCCTGACCTGTGGGGAGTTCTGTGGGCCAGATGCCATGGCTCCATGGGCCACATCTGGCCTGTGGGCCAGAGACTGACCACCCCTGGGTTAAACAATTTAGTGATGATTTACCACTACATGGACCTGTAAAAAAAAACAAATCCTAATTATTTCTTGTTGTCACACAATTCAATACATGTATATTTCATTGTCCTTCCAGAGGGATATTTTTTATCCTTCCTCTATTTATGTATTCATTTGCATTATGAAATTTTGGGTCTGAGGACCTACCTTAATGTAATATACATCTTGGTCATCTAGTATCAACTCCAGGTGTCCAATTCGTGAATTCTTAGAGAACTCAATTTTTCCTTAGAGAAAAATACAGGCACTTATGTTTTTGGTTGCATATACAGTTACAATAAAATTTCACTTTTACCATGTCTTGTATAAAAATATATCCCAACATTCTGTTTAAAATTGCAACATACTGTTAACAATGCCATAGTTAAACAGTAAATAATAGCATAACACTCCTGACTGACACTACCTGAAGATCTGTCCCTTAACTGAAACACCTACCATCCATTTGGATTTTTTTCTTTGGTTGTATGAATTGAATTCGGAATTTCTTCTGTGGAACATGAACATTTAGCTCAATACCAACATCCCGTTTCAGGTCTGACTTTGGAGTCCCAAAAAAGAAATGAACAACAGCTTCATTTGGCATCCAAGAATCTTCCTAGGAAAAAATGAAAATGACTTTTGCATGTGGTACTGCATACAAAATTAAATCCGACACACGGAATCACTCCATGGCTTCATTGCTATGCTGAGAACTCAGATCTGCTTCTCTAACTCCTCTATAAAACATTTCCATTTCTCATCCCCAAGTCATTTGAATTTTATTTATTTTTTCATTCCAAGTGTTTAACTCACACACACGTTACCAAACAAGAGGCTGAATCTTCTATTCTGTATCCAGTGCTAGATTAGGAATTTTCATCTGAACGCCTGCACAGTTCACAATAGAATGAACACCTCTTACAAATACGCTGAGCCCTGCCAAAATTTGGGGGCAGTTGGATATAAGGTCCACGTTAAGACCTAAACTTTTCAGCTCAAGCCTAATTCACTTCAGCCTTTTCTGTTACTTTAATTAAGACTCTTAATAGTCTATATTTTCCTAACAAAGTCAATGGCTGTCATTGATCAGGACAGATTTGGGCATGAGAATATTGCAATTTTGATTCATAAACAAATCTGAGAAAAAATATCATAAATTTTGCTGAAAATAAGGTGGGAGGCAATAGTCAATATTTGGTTTCTAATGCTAAGCTGTGTAATTCAGTAATAAATCCATGACTAACTGAGAACATCAAAGGGCAGTCCAAAAGAAGCTATACTGTCTATGGCTGTGCCAGTAAGTTTAGACTGTCTCTGCATTTAACTCAGCTCAAGGTCTGAAAGTCCCAATCCATAGTATTTACCCATGAAAATCTTCACAGTGCCATAGGTCACAAATGCCAAATGGCTTTGCTAATATTTTATCAACCTGGAGAAGCAGAGGTTGTATGAAGAAAGACTGCAGGAGGCACAAAGAAGTTAACCTATATGCACATAGTTTAAATCCTAGTTGTCATTGCAGAACATCTGTAAATAGTTCTCTTAATAAAAAGTCATGTTATTTTTTTTTTTTTACAAGCATGGAGTCCTCTTATGATATTAGAGTTTGGTACATGAAACAAACAGTACATCCTATTTTCCCTGGCATTCCTCTTGGCTGCCAATCAGGTGGGACTTGGCGCGGGAGGGAGTGCCGCAACACCACGGCCAAAGTGAGGTGCCCCCTGCCTGCCCGGCAGCAGCAGGGAGCACAATTCTGCACTGCCACCACGCCTCACCATGGCAGCCATGGTGGCGCAGCACTCCCTCCCATGCCAGGCCTTGCCTGCTGGGCTGCAGAGGCGACAACTGCCTGGAGTCAGTCCAGTCCAGGTGTAGCCCTGTGCCCTGCTGTAGGTGCAGAAATCTGGGAGGTAGGTAGGTGTCCCCCCACCCCTCTCAATACATGTCGCCTGTGCTGACACCACCCCCCCCCCTTGCCCCCCCACCCAC